GGGACGGGAGTTCTTTTGCGTGGTGCATCTGGATGGGACCCTGACTTTCTATGAGCAGGATGGCATCTCCTACGAGTGCCGGTTCCCCGGTCATCGGGCACTTCCTGCTCCAGTGGCCTACTGCGAGCGAACCGATAGCTTCTTTCGGTTCAGTGCCACCTGGGATCTGCAGTGCTACAGCTACCAGGATCTGTCCCACTCGCTGGTCACCAAGAGCAGCTACCAGCCCACCTGGACGCAGTGCGTCGGCGAGGGTATTGTCGATATGCGGGTGGTTCAAGTAAAAGAGTGAGTACAGAATTGTTTCTGGATTGGTATGCGGAATATCGATACCTGAAAGTATGCCACACTTCTTTAAGTCGCGGAGTCTTAAGATCTAAATTAATGGTAATGTTTAATGTAGGAACTGTTCCTATATTATGATCCTGGGCGAACGAAACTTTATTTCACTGGACGACAATGGAAAATTTAACTTTATGCTCAAGCTTGACTATGCTCCAAAATGTTTCACCAGCTTTGTGGTTGGCTATTACTGGGGTGAGTATTCCATTTGATTTCTTCCATAAACCCTATTTGACAAAAATCTATTTCAAGAGCCCGGAGCCCGCCTCATCACAGCTATCATTTCGGACTCCTCCAAGTTACATCTATATGAAGAGGCCAACATCATTTGGGCTGCACAGTGGCCCAACCAGTTGCCTGCACCAGTGGCCATACAGCGCTCCAATGTCCAGAATCTAGCTGGCGGAATAGTAACATTGGGCGCCAGTGGACAACTTGAAGTGGGCTACCTCGGCGCTGATCCATTTCAGTTCCAAGTGCAACCCTTGAACGTGGAGGAGTTGAGTTTCTCCCAGGCGCACAAGGAACTACAGCAGCTCGAGGACGAGATCAAGGAGGCGGTGGATGTGCGGGACATGGATGCCCTCAATCAGCAGGCGGCCGATCAGGTGCGCCTAAGTTTCAGCATCCAGACGGAGGCCAGCGATGATTTGGACACCCTGCTATTGGATGTACCGGCAGATGTGGCTGTCAAGGAGTTGCCGTCGGCCAAGGGCTTACTGCGCTGCAAGATTAAGGCGGAGCTGGCCGAATTGCAGCTGGTGTTCCAGACGCCGAATGGAGTCCGTTGCAGTCAGGATACTTTGAGCTTTGTGGATGTGCCAGCGGGCACAAGTAAAGAGCTCAAGTTGGACTTCTATATTGCCGAGTTGTTGCATGTTCATAGTACCAAAGTGGAAGTGGTGGCCTCCTTTTTGAGTCCCAGGGTGAGTAGAAAGCGATTGGTACAATTTTCGGATGCTGATCCTCTTCCAAATCTTTTCTAGGGGATCCCTCGTGTAATTCAGCAGAGCGCCAATCTTCCTCTGTCCATGTTCTATCGCGTGTGTCAGCCTCAAAAGGCAGCCGGGATCAAGCTAACCTACAGCATAACCAGTCGACATGTGAGCCCCAAGTTGGCCACCTTTTTCGGGGAGTTTCTGGAGGAGCAGAGCGATGCCCATGCTCTGGGACTCCAGTTGCTCTGTCCGGGTCTTGAGAAACAGAGTGAAATAATCACCGTGGTGGCTGCCAAGAACTCCAATCGCTTTCGCATACAGTCCGACTACGTGGAGACCTTCGGCATGATCCTGGAGCGCGTTGTGGAGAGAACTCTCAAGCTTGATAGCTCAGCGGGTCTGATCAAAATGGACAAAAAGAAGCCGAAGCGCGGAGTACTCAATCGCTGTGTGGAACGCCTGATGGCAGCTCCCTTTCTACCCGCCCAACCAATCCTCCATCGCATTGATGTCCATCACGAAACCCAGCAGAGCATTAGGAAGCAAACGGTGAGTATGGAGTAACTTTAAGCGAATTGACCTTTAACAAATTTTATTTATATTTGTATAAGTTATAAAGGTTTATTAAATGTAGTTCCTTTTTATTCACAGGACCAACTGGAGGATCTGTGGCAGCAGTTTAAAACCCTTCAGCGCCAACTCCAGGAGCAATCTGAGGGCGAGCCCAAGGAAGCCATAACTATGGAAATCGAGTCCAACTACGACCAGCTAATCCTGGAGGGCGACAAGCTAGTGGAGATACGGCGTGACGAACGCAAGTATGTACACATGGGGTGTTCGATAATTACCCTTATACTAAGTGTTTCCTATTTACACTACCACTACCGCTATCAAACCCACTGAAATAATTAACATGCTTATACCCATCACTAGTCAAAGAATGAAATATATATTTTTTAGTTAGGAATTATAAAAAATACCTTTTGTTCCAAATGGTTGTATACCTTTAAATTGTCAGTATCTATTCCCGTTTCTTAATTTCTTGCATTAAAATTTTAAAAACTTTAATATTAATTTGAGAATTACAATTAGCTAATTTGAAATAGTTTTAAAACTTCCATTATACTTGTTAAACTACTATTTATAATTTTTTTTAGATTTTAATATCCTAGCACATTTAAAGTACACGGTATCCCCTACATCGCAATAACTAAAATATCCTGCCAACTATTTTTATCGATTTCAGACAGCGCTGCGACCTCAATTGCGCCGTGTCATTAGCCAAATGGATAATTCATGCTTTGAACCTGGAGGAACGTGTGGTCAATGTTGTTAACTCAGTGCTAAGTGTGCCCATCGAGGACTGGACGGAATTGGTAAGCAATTTGAAAGTAAAATTTAAAATAATAAAATTAAATTACGCAAATAATTATTACAGAGCTGGGAAGAATCGATGGCACCCGGTATTGATATGCTACATCATTTTGGGCCGCTGACCCGCTCAAAATCCACGTCCACCCACGGATTACTGGATGCCAACTCTGGATCCAGGGACAGTTTTGATTACAGCCGGTTTAGACGACACTTTGCCACTCTTTTCGACCGGATTGTAAGATTGGCCTCCTCCCCGATGGCAGCTTACCCAGAAAAAGTTGCGGAAGAACCCTCGGCGGAGGAGAAGCCATCGCCGCCACAGCAGGTGGATGAAATCGGAAACATGCAGCGTATGCTAGGAGAGAAGGGCTTGCCACTGGCTCCTCCAAAGCGTAAAACCAATTTGAGCAGCTCTCTGGAGGCAGTGGAAGACGATGAGGAGTACGACGAGGAGGATCTTCGCGAGGATGTGGGCTACCGCAAGGAATATGGAGCGAGCGACCAGGAGAACGCAACCAACAAGAACCGATCCGAGTGGGTCAACGAAGACTTCGAGCTGCCCACCACCGAGGAGCTGTTTAGCGACCTGGGCATCTGGTGGTAGACAGTGAGGGGTTTCCAGGTCCAATAAACGTGCAAACTGTCAAAACAGAGATCTTTATTGGCTCGCTCGCGACTCGACAGAATGACAGGCCGACAGCTGCTGGGTTCGAGATCTGCGATTCTGGCGGCGATAAAGCTTCGTAATCGGAATTTGCATAACCAGCAACGACAGCCAGCCATCCAGAATCTGTGGGAGTGCGGAGATTTGTGTGGACAGGACAGGGCAGGACAGAAACAGGAAAGCAGACTCGTTTATGATGCATTGCCGCAGATAAAGAAAGATAAAAGTCAGGGCAGAGGCTTCACTGTGGCCCGTTTGAAAGTGGGCAGTGAGTGGAGGAAGGAATGCACAGAAAAAAATGGTGTTATTATTTTTTAAATATTTTTTTGTTTTGGCATTTTATATCTAAATATCCATCCAAAGCTGTTGATATCCACCTTTTTTATTTTAAATTCTTAAAGGATTTGATTTCATTTTTTTTAGTTCATAGCTTTGTTTTTAAATTGGCTCACCGGTTTTAATGATAGGCTCTAATTACATTACTAAGCTCTGCTGTTCTAACTGCTTATAATAACATACAGGCAAATATTGTATTTTTTTCCTGTGTGCAACTCTAGCTGAGACAGCTGCTGTGAACCCTTGTTTGCTCCACATGAAATCCCACACATGGGGAGCTGATTTATAGGAGTCACTGTCTGATCTAGGCTTCAGCTGCAGTGGCTGGACCGTAAATTGCCCACAATTGACTGCAGGAATGTCAGGTCTGTCCTTAGGACTGGAGTTGTATCTGTTGCCAAGATTGGAACTGAATCTGTCTACGTCACTGGGTGCATTGAGCACATTGTTTATGCGTGACTCGTGGACAGAATGTTATTTTTCGCAGCTGGCTCATTGATGAATTAACTGCCTTTTAATGTGATCCTGAGCAATTAAAAATTAATTTGCGGTTTGATGATGGGACATACAAATCATCGTTTCGATAAAAACAAATGCAGGATAGGTCAGTCACATGCAGCGAAGCGTGAAAAGTAACCGATTGCACCTTGGGCAAAAGGAGATTAATTTGGAAATAATATTTTGTTTTATGGAAATTAACGTTTAGCTAAATGTTTTGAAAAGTTTTAGGTTGATAAATAGTTATTCCAAGCCCAATTTCCCTTCAAGATATATACAATATCCGTTGGTTCAAAAATATGTGTATAATTATATTTTCTGCGACTTGCATAGAATAGCCTGTTATAAAAAGCTAATTGAGCCTGAACCTTTTAATTAAAAAAAGGTTACTGCAAATTAAGCTTAATCCCAAAATCCACAAATAAATAATACCTGAAATAATTAAAACGATGAGTTCACATCAAATTATTTATTTAATATATTTTGTGAGGTATCCACATAATTGATTTACCAAAACTTCATACCGTTTTTTTTGTAATCTTAAATAATTACGTGCACGTATGAGTTAAAATCTTTTTATGAGTAAAATACGGCTGAGATTTCTTTTGCCCGAACCCAGTGTCCGAGAACCGCTTTTGATTGTTTCCGTAAACATTAATAAATGAGTGCCCGCTGAATTGGAAATTAGCAACAAGCCAAATTTAGCAGCCGGAACGACGATAAAGAAAACTTGACGTATCAATCAGGGGGAGCAATTGTCGAAAGAAAGTAATAAAAATGAAGGTGTTTTGATTAGGTTCATTAGATAGAATTTATTGTAGTTTGGTATTTATTATTTGGTTCATTAGCTAGTACAAATTATAGTTGGGATTGTACTGCTCCCTGATGGAACAGAGAGCGGGGAATTCCGGGTTGCTGCCCGTCCGGCATTCGGAGGCGGGTTCTCCGGCATTATAAACAGGCACTCCGATGGCATAGACACTGGCGTAGTTGCAGGCGGTGTTGTAGATGTAGAGGAAGGGGTACTGGGGATTGGTGAAGCGCATCATGGCACAGCCCACATGGGTGTTCCGGTCCACCACCGTTTCCACAAAGTGTCCGTACTTCTCACTGATAAGAGTAAAAGGAGTTAGTGGTTTAGGTCAGTGGGGAGATCCCGGACGACTTACAGATTCCTGGTGAGCTTAAAATCGGTTATATAGCTGCTGTCGATCAGCTTGTGTTCCCCGAACCACAAACCCATTGACTGATCCACCAGATTAGTCACGTTCATCGGCCAGTTCCGGGGGCGATCGACCCCGCACAGATTCTGACCCAAATTCCGGAAGCGGTAACTGTTGTGACAGTCGTCGTGCTCCAGATAGCAGGTTTTCAGGTTCAACGTGGCCAGGTACTCCAGTTCCGCATCCCACACCATGGTGGCCATGCGAGTGGCCGGGTAATATCCAGGCAGTGATCCAGAGGCTATAAAGTTCCTCCGCTTGTTATGCTCATCCACGATAAAGTTGCGGTAAGGTTTAAGGTCCACCATGGTGGCATCCGGAGAGCAGCTCTCATGGAACTCCTAAAGGAAATATATGTCATACATCAGGATGTAAAGAGGACTTATGAGCTTTACTTACCCCATCATTATTGCAGGCAATGTGCACCGTGTCATCTGGACACAGTTGCGGATCGCACCAGGACAACGGCTGGGAGATCACAACCCCCAAGATTGTCAGCAGACAACTGAACATTAGGTATCTTCCGGTCTCCATATTCGCTGGATCTCACTGAAGGCTTGAACGCAAGTGCAAGTCCTGACCACCGTCAAGGCGATATTTATAACGAAATTTTGATTTGCAAGTGTTTATTTACGGCGGGTGTTTACCAATCTCGATTCCAAGCCCGACTTCGATTCCGAATCCGATCCCGATCTCAATCCGAAAACGAAACCGCAGCTTGAGACAGGTCAAGCGACGTTTTATGAATCATTTCCATTTTCGGGGGCCGTTGTCTTTGTCTCAATTACAGTCTGTGTTTATGTTTTTATCTTTAAAGAGCGTTCACACCGAAACTTCAAAGTGCACGAATTCTAGGAAAACTCGAGCAATAAGCTCCCGAGAAGCCCCGAGGGAAGAGTCTCCACTTTGTTGGCACGCGGCTCCCTATCCAAAAATAGACTGTTTAACTAGATCGTTAATCTCCGAGTTGAGTCAAGTTCAAGCTAGAGAAAGCCAAGTAGACGCATTTAGTTGAGGTTTGAGCTTTCGTTAGGTTGGTTAAAGTTGTACGGACCGGTGAAAAATAGGGAAACATCTGTTGTATCATTACCCATTGTTATTGACAGATACTAATCTAAAAAATAATTGAAAATAGCTTGTAAAACATTTAAGCTGGAGTACATATTATAAACACTCAACATTGGTTTTAATCATTTAAAATAACGTGGTCTAAAGAGATTCAACATTCAACTTGAGTCAGCGTGGGTGTTTCACACAGTTCAGTGACTTCATTATTCTAGAGTTTCCAGTCTTTGACACTGACATTGACCCAATTGATGAGCTTTGACTATCAGGTATTAATATACAAGTAGATTAATCTGCTTGTTTCTTGCTCGCTGCACACGCTAAGCTCCCTATTCAAAGACCCCCCCGACAGGTTCTCAATCACAAAGGAGAAATCAATAACTTCTGCGAACAAATCGCCATTTGCATATGCTAGGGAACATCTTTATGAGTTGTTGACCAATAATAAACGAAAGTTCTGTGCCAAACCAGTCTCTAAAGACTGGGACTGGCTTTCTTTGTATATTCGCATTGTTTATTTTGGTCGATCTTTTTTGTCTTACAGCACAACCTGTGGGTTTATAACTCAACTGTGGTTATGCAATGCTAGTCGGGTCAGAAGTCAGCGGCGAACTCTCGATGACGTCTGTAAATTTAAATAAATTATGCAAAGTGGCTGGAATCGATGCGATCATTTATTGGTTTGTATTCGGTCTAAAGCTACGGGCTACTAAATACTCTTGGCAGTTGTACCTGAGTGGAGGGATTCCCCCTGGGATCCCTTCTACCAATTGGGGTCGTACACCTCCCGCGTGGAACACAATCCCGGATAGAAGTGGCTTTTGCCCGTGGTGCACCGAGAAGCCGGACGGCCAGCCTCATAAACTGGAGCTCCCAGGGCGTACAGTGAAGCGTAGTTGCAGATGAAGTTGTAGATATATACGGAGGGGTAGTCGGGACGTGTGAATCTCATGATGGAGCAGCCTAGCGCAAAGCTCTTGTCCACACTCATCTCCGCAAAGTGACCGTAGTCCTCACTGTTTAGAATAAATGCTATACGTTGATAAAGAATCAAGGGGCATCCCCTTTTATTTTTACTTACAAGATGGAGGTGACTCGAAAGGCATCGATGAAGCTGCTGTCTATCAGGGAGTATTCGTTAAACCACAGACCCAAGCACTCCTCCACCAAACTGGTCACATTCACATGGGGATCTCTTGGACGCCACACGGCGCACAGGTTTTGTCCGGAGTTGGCATACCGGTAGGTGTTGTGGCAATCGTCGTGGTCTAGCTTACAGGTTCGGGAATTCAGCATGGACAGGTACTGCAGCTCATCGTCCCACACCTAAGGATATCGCAGATTATTGCTATCCAAGTAATGTTTGGATAAGTTCCTACCATTGTGGCCATTCGTGCGGCCGGATAATACCCCGGCACCTTTCCTAAAGCCAGGAAGTTTCTCCTCTTGTTGTGGGCATGCAGGAAATCCCCCTTGTGGCGGTTTATATCCACTTGGAATGAATCCGGCTGGCAGCGTCTGGCGAATTGCTGTGGCACAAGATAAAAAGGGTTTTCATGAATCTATCATTTGCAAGATATTTTTAGAGGTTTTCGGCTTTCCTTTTCATTTTCACATAAAATCATCTAGTTATTAAACCTATCTTTCTAAGAAAAACCTTTTTAAAATCTTTGAACTTTTTCTTAATTGTACCCTGAAGTTAAAACTTTAGAATCCTTATCAGATATTTAAATCATTTTTCTGAAATCTTAGCATCTAAAAATTCAATTTTATAAACGGAAAACAGGTAAATTTATGGTGATTATGGTGAAATTATGATTAACATACTCTAATCACAATCAAGATGATATAATAACGAAAAAATAGATATAAGAAAGTTTCTTTCTTAGAATGTGCACTTGAATATATAAGACTTTTTTTGACAAAATTGCGATCTCTAATTAAGATATTATCTGCTATAGTTTGCAAAAATCCCCCTAAAACAAGATAATGCGAACTGATTAAAGATCTGTGGCGATTAAATTTAAATATACATAAATTAATCAGCCAAAGACCTTGAGCTCTGCAACATTTCATTTCAGCCATTTTTACAAATATTTCATCGTTCATCTCCTAATATGCATGCGATTAATATTCAAGTCTACATTATATGACTTTTGATTATAATAACCTTTTCTTTATCGTATGAAAGAATATTTGTATAATTTATTTGATTAATACTTACTCCAGTATTTCGGCAGGCAATATGTTTGACACCATTCTCGCACAAAGTGGGATCACACCAGCCGTAGTCCTGGGCCAGGACTAACTGCAGCATAAGCTGGAAAATGGCCAGGCAGGCAGTTCCACAGACCAGAGCTGACATTTTTTCTAATTTACTTTCAAAAAACTTTAAAAAATATTTAACACTTAATAAGGACCCTCTGTCTATCACTTTTGATTGGGCACTTTCAATCAGATTCTGGCCAATAAGCGTGGCCGTCTTTATTGGATGTTTCCGTTCGAATGATCACAGAACCGAGATCGGGGACTAAGACTTAAACTAAGCAAGAGAGCTCGGGTGACAGCCGACTTTTTATATATCTCTCTCCGGCCGATTCTAATGCCATTTCGCAAAGCCCGACTTAGCCAGACCAAGCCTTTCTAACACGTTTAGAAACGAAACGGCCAAGAACAAGTTTGCACAAAATAATGATAATAAATATAAATATTAATTTGAGGGCCAGCCGAGCGGAGGATGAGTGAATCTTCCCGGTCTTTCGGTTCCATTTCATCCCGCTTCGGCTCGGGTTTCTAAAGTCGTGATTCTAAAATTGGCCGAAATGAAACAAAATTAAAAATGAAAATAAGAGAGGAGAGTGGAGAGGAGTCTGGTGGTTCATTGGATCTATGTGGACAACGATCGGTTGACAGGCCATAAAATGTGCGCGTTTGATGTTAATGTGATCTTTAAGCGGCCCATATATATACTTCAGCTATATTTATCCAGCTGGAAGCTTGGGAAACGGCGGCTATCCATTTCGGGGGGCGTGCAATTAATTACCCGACTTTTATTGACACATATATCCGACCAGTACCGGAGCTGGCAAAGCCCATCAGTCCGGCTCAGAACCTATTAGACTAAATTTAGTATGCAAATTTCAACAGCGATTATGCCCGATAAGGCGGCACTTAAGACCGACGCGTGATTTAAGTTGCTTTTCCTAGATTTATGGAGGAGAAATTTAAGAAGAAAGGTGAGTCTGTGTGCTAATTGATGGGTTGTAGCATGTGTTCGGGTACACTAGGAAGTCAGGGGAATGAGAAAGTCTGGAATCTGTAGGCATTAGGGACTTCGAAATAGATACGACTGTGACTTCGGTTATATGCAAACTTTTGCACCTAAGACGTTAAATCTGAATCGCAATTGTTTCAATGTACTTAAACGTTTTGAAAATAGATGTACTAAAATAAAATGATCACTCTCTTTTTAATATCTAAAACTCAAGAACCCCCTTTTTTCCCATATTTTATTATTTTGACACAAATGACAGTAATTACCAAGTGATCAATCTTTAATGGGATGTGGTTATCTTTGTTCCCACAGATGGAATCAAGAATCACTGATCGCTGCGCCATTATCTCCCCGCCCCCTCCAGACCAAGATTACAAGATTAGATAATGGCAATTAATACTCAGTACCGATGGCACTGCAACAACTTCCGTCATGAGAAAACACCAGCGTCGAGTTAACTTTGCATAATTACATCTGACTGCGATGAGACCTGGAACGAAATAAATCGCTACAAGTAACTCGGAGAACAAGAGGGATCATTTAAAATAATTAATAATCCGTATTGTTCCTGCCCGGCATGTGCTAAACTTTATCCAAAATCTGATGGATGCCAACCAGTTTCGGCTGGCGAAAGCCGATACAAAAATATAAAAATAAATAAACAAAAAAGTTGCTGCCGACGCCTTTCTGTCTGTGGAAGTGCTAAAGCAAATTGATTCGAGAATTGGCGAGTGAGTGAGGGAGAGAGATTAAAAGCTATGTCTAGAAGGTCCTGAATCCCTTTTCCAACTACATAATTATTCAAATGGCCAATAACTAGGCAATTAATTTTGCTTTGATTCTTGCGGGCTTGCCTTTTCCATTCCGACACACGCCATCGCCATTTAAGCCAACGCTGAATACTTGATTGCCAATTAAATTAGTCAAAACACTTAAGAATCGAGGGAGAGGAAGATGGAGAGCGGCAGATAGTTTGGCGGAGATATCCATTAATTCACAATTCATTCAGACATTCATCTCGTGTAAGCTCAACCAATCTTCCCAGACATTTGTATTTATAATGACCCACTCGACGCTGATTGACGGCTGAGTGGGTGAGGATTAGGGTGGGGGAGGTGTCAGCACTTAATAACTAATTTGCTTAGCTAATTAACTGTGACCAAGACATCTTAATTAGTATTCTAGAATAGGAGTAAGAATAATTGTAAATACTATGTTACATTTATAATAATATTAGTCACTTACAAATTGAATCATTATAATCATTTAGAGCATGTCCAAATAAAACCATGCTAAATGAAAATTAGTCAACACATTAAATAACTTGCTAATAAACTCGATTCTTAGAAATCATCTGGAGCGTGTCAAATGGCCAACCAAAAATTAAGCGAATTTACTGCCAGCGAAGATACAAAAAGAAAACTACTTTAAGATATTAAATGTCTTAGAACTTCTATGATATCTAAAGTTTTTTAATGATATTACTATAAACGGTTAGATCTCATTAAAATTATAAATGTACGAATTGAATTTTCTCCCTAACACATAATAGGGAATACTTTTTTTTTTCCTTAGCAATTGAACACAAAAAGACGATAAAAAATATTGAAATTTAATATAGCTCTCAAAATCAAATGTGATTTAATCTAAAATTCACTGAGATTAAATTTGCAGAACTTAAAATATTGATTTTAATTTTAAAAAAAATATAATTTTAATAAGAAGCATTTAAAACATGGAAAATAAATTCTTCGGATCTCATTTTTGTTCTTTTCAACATAAATTCACAAATTTATTTCTCCCCACATTTAGCTGGTGAATCGCTCGGAATTGCCACCCCGTTGCTGGGTCATTTAGGTCAACGCCGAAGAGTATGCCACAAATTATTGCCCCTCTTTCTTTCCTACTCATATATAATATATCTCACTCTCTCCGCCGCCGTATCAATAACATAAATAATGCTTCATTTGTCCAGTTCTGTCAACAGCTTTGGTTTCCCGCATCCGGAAAATGGCTTGTGCGGGGTCCTCCCCCAATCCTTAAGTTCCAACCCCCGAAGACGAAGTGCAGCCCTTGAGCCAGTTGGACGTGGGCGGCCATTCTCTGGGAGCCGCTGACATATGGATGTACGCGATAATGGCCAAACCGATGACAATGGATGCTCCCACGCAGCCACCGAATGATTCATGCGTTTCCACTCGCTTATGCACACTTACGAGTCGCATCCTTGGATGCTGGCTGTACACAGAGAAAAACTAAGAGCTTATCAAGAGGGTTTATATTTTGACAATTCTAAAAGAAATTAAATATATTCAAAGTAATATTCAGCTTTAGTAAGAAGCTTAAATTTAAATGTCGGCTAAGACGCGACTTCAATCCGGATTAAAAAAATTTTTTTTTTTTATATTTGTTGAACACCCCACACAAGGATCGACCTTGTTTTCGTGTATTGACAAATTATTTCTAAAGAGCCCAAAAAAGCGGGTAAAAAAGACAAGGCTTTAACGAACATTCATGTTTTACAAGATATTTAATCTCTATGAACAGCTAGGTTACTCAGCCCGATCAAAGGGTCTAATACCAATTCCCAGCTAATAACAGTGGAATATATAAAAATATTAAAAATGTACTTCAAATTATTATGAATTATTTTGATTTGATCTTTTGTGCTTTTGCAATTCTTATATTTGAAAATTTTTTTATATATATATAAAAAGCTTAGAATTTTATATTTAGACAAGGTTTTATTATAATAACAGTGCTATTATTAATAAGATACGATTACTACAATGAATGTTTTATCATAATAATTGTTGTGAAGACATTTAAAGCCCAAGAGTTTGTAAAGCTATCATTAGTTAATAACAAATTATTTGTTTTCTGTGCAGCAGATGATGCATGACCAATGGCATCGATTGCCCTTTCTAGTTGCGGCTTATCGCCGGACATCTCTTCGTCTCATCGCAGCGAGTCCTGCCAGAGAAATTGATAAATTGTGGATTTTAAGTGGCTACCAGCGAGGAGGTATGGAATGGGAAGGGGCCTCAAGTTATGAGTTATGAACACGGGCCCGTCGCCTAATGCCGCCCCTTGGGGAATGCAGTAAACGCCACTTGTCCGGCAGAAGACATTTCACCAAATGCCAAATTTGGATCACGCCATGGCGCCACACCATCGTCGGCTGGCCGGCAGATACCCAGTGGAATAGGTGGCTTTATGGCAGCTGGTCCGATATGGAGAGGTTAGCGCCCGATAAGGACAGAGCACGCGTCGCCGGCGTCTCCAGAGGAGCGACACGCGGAAACGCTCAAAGGCGATCCGAACAGGCAGATGTCACCGTGGTCCAAGATCGAGTTTAAGTGCCTGCAGATTTCTGCAGAAGCTACTGGACGGACATCAATCAGCCAGCAGGCACTTGCAATTGGAAGTGGCATCAACCTGATCGATCGACTTGTTTGGGGATTCAGTGCACGTGCCTGCTGAATGGTAATGCACTCAGAGAAATCTCGTTATTATATTGCATATCCCTGGTTAATTATGTGGACTACATTTTACATCCTTTCGGTAAAAGAAGAAAGATAAATGTATAATGTATAATGTAAATTTAATAATACCGTTCGGGATACACAAAGCACCTATGATAAAATTAAATATCATATTGGTGAAAGCCAAATGGCTTTGATTTGTTTTAAGCTAATTTGCTTCCCGGCTATGTATTTATTTATTTATTTTGTAATAAATTTACTGTTCTAAGATAATAAAATTATAAATGACTCGGCAAATTCAAAAGTCAAATTTAATTAATATATCCGTCAAAATTAATTGTTAAGTAAAACCTGCAGTAATGTAAGAACTTTTAGACTATTATTATTATTAAGCAAGTTTGGAAGCAATGTTTTGTAAGGTATAGTCTTTAAACATTTCCCAATGCTACGTTACTTTTTAAAATTGAGTCAATTTGCTGTTCCAGAAAAAATACTTTCTCCATATACGGTTATAATTTTTCTGACACTGGAAAACCACAAAGAAAAGTTATTTTTTAGATTTTGGCAATCCGCCATTCTTACCGATTTTTGGGACAGCAGTCTCTGTAAAGATTTGTCGTTTAAAAAATGAATACCTTATTATAGAATTGTTGTTTCTAAACAATTCAACTTCCTGTTAACTTTCTTTCATAGATTATACAATCGTTAACCTTTACATGGCCCTTAAACAATTTTAGATATAAGTTTTTTAGTAACGAAAATGCCATGCTTTCATTTTAATAGATGTTTTTTCGTGCTGTGTAGATTGCTTTCCTCAATGAGCCGCGAGCTATGATCCAGGGGCCATGCCAGATTGTGTTTTCCGTCTAAATCGCCTGCGATCGGATCGCTTGAATTTACGAGCGCCCGCCTCGTTCTCAGAATTCCGAAGGCTGCCCAGTAAGTTCGATTCGAATTACAGACAATCTTGCCCTGGGAATTGGACGCGGAATGGGAATTGCCTGGCCGACCCTAGACATCGCTGACAATTATTGCAAAGCAAACATGCATAAATTGGCATTACCCCCACTGGCTAATGGCTAATGGCCATGCCCCGTAATCCGACGCCAGCCAGACTGAGTTTCGCTCCCCGATTCTGGGTTCCATTCGTACTCTGGAGTGGCCCTTGGCCGTTGGCCGTTGGCACTCGCTCTGCACTCCACTTCCTTCCGTGGCCATGGATTCGGACTCGGAGCCACCGCAGTGTTTGTTGCCACCCCAGACGCAGTGTCGTCGCGGAGAGTTGGAGTTCGTGCCTCTGAAACTGATGCCACACACGAACAGCAAAGAACAATAAACGCAAGTTGGCCGGAGATCCTCCATTTGGGAGCAGGGAGGCAGCTGAAAGTCAGCAGTTCGAGTTCCCACAGGCTATTCGATTCCCTCTTTTCAAGCTGGTCAACTGCCAGCGCTTTTTAATGGCTTAGAGATTTGACTCCCTAACTTAAACACCACTAGCCAAATGTTTTCATACCGGTTACTCGTGTAGTAAAAGGGTAAATTGATTAGACTAAATTTGAGATTTCCTCTTTGGTGGGCATTCTAATGGCTATTCAAATCGCAAATCAGAGTGGACTAACTTAAAAGCATTTGGCTGCTGTCAGTTCATTTACTTCGATTTCTATTAATCGCTTTCCAATAAACTACTTCAGCACTTAGTAAAATCTTTTAATACCAAATTTCTAAGTGTTCTATGTTGGCCATTTGCTTAACTGATTTCCAATAAATCTTTTAGTCTTTAAACGATTTTGAAGATTTATTTTAGTTACTTGTAATTGAAAATAAAGAAAAGGCCATTGTTAACTTCTTAAATACAAAACAAACCCACTTTTCCCAGAGAAAACACCAATTGTTAATTGTTTTTTTTTATATATTTCAATTTGATTTCATCCACTTGCATTTGTGGTATTGGTTTTTGTTTTGTTTTTTTTTCTTTTCTTCAACTTTTGGGATATTCAAATATATCGTAAATTTACAGATCCAGCCATACAGTAGTATATAAAGAAGTTTTTATAGTACATTACATTAACTTTAAACTTTAAACTTGATTAATTTGTAAAATTGAAAATGGCAAAGAGTTGTCTCCCTTCTCCGCTGGTTAAGTGCATAAATAGTTGGCGATAGTTGTATAAATATTAACACAGTTTGGGTAAAAGTTGGTTAATTCTGCGAGGGCGCATGCCCCGATTTGAGATAAGCGGAATTTCGAGTTGGTTAAGTAGGGTTGGAGAGTTGAGTGTGGGGATCTGGGGCTCGTTCAAGTTTCAACTAAGCAAAAATACTGTTGTGCAATTCTCATAGTAGTTGGGTAGGTCCTCCTCCTCATCCTCTTCCTAGAGCTTAAATTTTAAGCAAACATTATCAAGTACTTCAGCTAGGACTGCGTTAAGTTCTAAGTACACTTAGCTAAAGCTTAGCTTAGGTTTAGTTATAGTTTAGTGTTTAGATCAGTTTAGTTCAGCGCAGCGACGAAACACACATACAGTAATACAAATACAAAACAGGCACACAAACAACAGGCTCTCCGAATAAAACTCCATTACTAAAGCTAAAATAAATAAAACTTAGGCTACACGAAATGGCGACAGGATGAGTTTCGATGCTATGTGTGGGTGCTGCATACATATACGGTATATATATATATATATATATATATCTGGCATATATATCTGCCTACTCCAGAGGACGTTCAGCGTAATACTGTGGCCTGGCTGTCATGGGAGCGAATTCAACTAGGTTTTCCCTCACAATCTCCCTACTTTTTGGGGCCGCTGAAAGTATGCTATGGATTGCGGCCCTTTTCAGGCGAGAGTATCTGTGTGGATGGGCGTGCTCAGTGTGTGTGTGTGTGTGTGTGTAGTAACTAAATGGGTAACTAAAGTTAAACGGTCAACTAACTTAGTGGAGGGGCGGCGGCGTGCGATCCGGCGCACGCGGATAGAGGATGCTGCTGGGCACATGCTTCCGGAAGAACTCCTTGTCCAGCTGATCCTTGTCCAGTCGGTGGCCCTGCTTGTCCAGCTGGTTCTGGCCCGGCTTGTGCCGCCCCTTCTGGCCCTGTTTGCTCCGCTGCTCCTGCAGCTGCAGCCTCAGCTGGTGGTTCTTCTGCCGCCGACCCTTGTGGAACCGATTGAAGCTGGGGTCGCCGTAGAACTGGTTGCCCTTGAAGCTCGACAGCGTGGCATTGTGTCGCCAGCCTCCTGGGCAGTTGGTGGCGTTCCTCCAGTCCGGCAGCTGGATGCCCAGGCGCCGGCACTCGTGGGCGTACGCCGCGAAGCTGTCGCAGTGGCAGTCGCCGGACGGACACTCGCACACGTCCATCCGGCAGGCGGCCTTGTAGTTCTCCGGATTCAGCCGCTCGTGGCACTCGCCGAAGAGCGCCGGAACACTCAGCGGATGGCAGTAGAAGTTCGACTTGCGCTTGTCGCAGGTGGGCGTGGCGGCCAGGAATTCACGCTTGCGCGAACAGGACTTGGGGCCGCCCACCTTCCAGGAGTTGGCGAAGTGCCAGACCTCGTCGTCCCCGCGATTCCGTCCATCCTTGCCGGTGAGATCGTCCCGCGAACTGCCGTTGAAGTTGCCGCAGAGGCCGCACAGTCTTTGCTTGAACTTGGCCGGCACCGAAACCTGCAGGAAGCCAGCTCCATTCCACTCCAGCGTCAGTCCCATTTCCGATCTCAGCATAACCGCTCCTCCGTCTGCCAGCCTCTCAATCGTGACATTCTGCCCACCGGCCACGCCCACATAGGGCAGCGTGACCCTCGTACCGTTCACCTTGACCCGCATCCGCTGGCCGAGATTAACCTTCAAGTTCCGCAGATTGAGGGTCACCGTTTTGGCCCAACTGGAGCGCCGCGTGCCACGCCCCTCGTTCGTCAGGCGGATGTGAAAGGTCTTGCCCAGACAGTCGGAGGCCAACAGGTATTTACAGCTGCCCTGGAAGCTGAAGAACTTGCCGTCGAAGGTGCGGAAGTGGGGATCCCCGAAGACGGTGCAGGTCCCAGCGGTCTCCACGCACCGCTTGCAGCACTCGCCCGCCGGCTGCTTCAGTTCCTCATTGGCCCGGCACTTGACCGCCGGACAGCGCACCTGGGCGCAGCGGATGGTGCCCCCGTTGCAGCGGCAACTGCGGCACGGACCCATGTCCCAGGTCTCGTTGTTCTGGTAGATCACCCCGTCCAGGCTGCACTCGCTCCGGACCTCGGCGACGGCACAGCGCGGACAGCAGCCGTCCAGCTCCTGGAATTCCGGAGCGCACTCCAGGATGGGGCAGGTGTGGCGCTGGCAGACCGAGGTTCCGTTCAGGCAGGTGCAGTTCGTGCACCTGTCCGGCATGAACTCCGTCTTCTCGGGGTAAACACTTTTGTTGAAGAGGCACTTGCCTGTTGAAGAAACATAGAAAATTTCAAGATATTAGCTGGGAAAATGACTAACGATTATTCAATAAATTTGCTTTTATATCAGATTAATTATATCGATTTTAAACTTTTTATTTTACAAATTATGGTATTTGGTCTATAAATTGATACTTTAGTTTACACATGTATCAAAATAAATTTAAAGTTATGGGAAATTATCAAATTTATGTTTTTGAATGTCTATATAGATACAAATAACTAGAAAGTAGCTATGAATAGAATTAGCTTTATAATATGCCAGCATTTCTTTATTGTTGGCATTAAAATACCAGCACGAATTAAATTTTAGGACATTTATTGCTGTATTTAAATGCAGTGCGATTTAAAAAAAAATATAGGTAATATATACACAGGTGTGTTTTGTTGTGGTTTTAAAATTTTATGATATAAACATATCAACGATTTAAAAATAATTTGATGGTTTAAATTGTAGATGGGAAAGAAATAAAGGCATGGAAAGCTCTGAAATTTTGGATTAACTTGTACAAGTTTTCTTTCTTACTAGAACTATTTAGAAATCTAAGTTTGTTTGGATAACTCACCTGGAACCGGTAGGAAACTGTGGTTCTGCGGACAACGCGGACAGCACTCGTCCGGACGCTTGATCTGCTTGGTCATGGGGCACGGGAGCACCGGGCAGGTCTTCTTGGAGCAGGTCAGCTGATTCCCGCGGCACTGGCAGACCAGACAGCGGTCGTCGATGGAGGCGTCCACCTCCTGGCCCTCGGCCACCGTCTGTCCGTTGATCTTGCAACCTGACAACGAGTCGAACAGAGGCAATCCCATCAGATATTAGAATTAGACATCGGGCATTAGCCATCAGACACTTATGATTTAGTTGGGTTTGATTTGCTTGGCCACGGGCCAAGAAATTTTCCACAAGGCGAAACGGGTTTCCAAGCGGCATTTACCGCATTTGCATAGGCAGCGTCATAGGAGGGCCCCCCGATTTGCGTTGCTTTTGTTTTCTCAGCCGCGATCGCAATGCCAATATGCGGGGCGACATTGTCGCCTTAATAGACAATTTAAAGCCCATAAATAAGCAGAGCCAACAATAACAGCCGCGTCGCGGAGAACAGATCAAAACAGATCGCAGCGGATCACCACAGATTCGATTTGAGATGGGGCGAATTTCGGATTGGCCCATGAATAAATCATTTCGGTGATAGAGACATAAAAATGCTGGCACTATCTGCGATGATCTACTTTGCGTTGGGCAAATAATTATGAATTTCGAAACATTTTAGCATATTTTATGCTGCATTGGTAATACCCGTTCGTAGAGCATCTGCTTGGGCTCGCTATTGTCTAACGATTATGAGGCATTAGCGGGATTTGGGCTAATTTTAGTGAGTGATGCTACTGGGGACTGGTCTGATATCAATTGGAGGGGCTTTGGGACTCACCCTGGCAGGTGGGACAGCATTCGCCGGGGCGCGGTGGCTGCAGCTGGTTGTTGTCGCACTGCGAATAGCACTTCTGCACCGTCTCGGTGACCACGGTGGCCACGCACTTGTACGTCTTGCAGGGATCCGCCGGATCGCTCCACTCCGATCCGCTCTCATACGACATGCCACGGAAAGTGCAACCTGCGGGATTAAGGAGCGTGAATTAAAACAAGAAGATAACCAAACTTCGGAAAGCCAATGTTATTGGACCCATGATGCTATTACAAAACTTATTTTCTATAATTCAATTTTTAAGCATTTGTGTTAAAAAACAATGAATCTATGTTCCCATGGCAGATATAGGATATAGTCGTCCGATTTTTATAAAATTATAGAACTCTAAATCTATAAAGAATCTCTATGTCACGGGATCGTTTTCATTTTTAGTCTTCTGATTGGGAGCTATATCATAAAGTCGTCTGATCCGTTCCTACTTATGTATATACTACCTGCAAGAGAAAGATTACTTTTGGAATAGCTTTGGAATAGCTTAAAAACTGAGAGACTAGTTAGAGTGGGACAGACGGGCGGGCTAGATCGATTCTACTGCTGATGATCATCAAGAATATATAATATATATAAGCGCGTGGCAAACTTTTGAGTAAAACTATAATACTCTCTAACAAGAAAGGAAAGCTAACTTCGGGCGGAGCCGAAGTTGATATACCCTTGCAGAATACTCTGTAAATTATATTCTCCAAAATTATTCATATGATGCATTCTTAATACTCATAAAAAATCGGAACTTCCTAACTTTAACAACAACAAAGTTATGGCATTTCCAATCGTTCAGTTATATGGCAGCTATAGGATATAGTCGGCCGATCCTTATGAAATTTGGTAGGTCGGATTGATTGGCCAAAAATAAAATCCATAGAAAATCCCAACTTCCTAACTTTACAAACACCAAAGTTATGGCATTTCCGATCAATCAGTTATATGGCAGCTATAGGATATAGTCGGCCGATCCTTATGAAATTTGGTAGGTCGGATTGATTGGCCAAAAATAAAATCCATAGAAAATCCCAATTTTCTAACTTTACAAACACCAAAGTTATGGCATTTCCGATCAATCAGTTATATGGCAGCTATAGGATATAGTCGGCCGATCCTTATGAAATTTGGTAGGTCGGATTGATTGGCCAAATATAAAACCCATAGAAAATCCCAACTTTCTAACTTTACAAACACCAAAGTTATGGCATTTCCGATCAATCAGTTATATGGCAGCTATAGGATATAGTCGGCCGATCCTTATGAAATTTGGTAGGTCGGATTGATTGGCCAAATATAAAACCCATAGAAAATCCCAACTTCCTAACTTTACAAACACGAAAGTTATGGCATTTCCGATCAATCAGTTATATGGCAGCTATAGGATATAGTCGGCCGATCCCGGCCGTTCCGACTTATATACTGCGTGCAAAGGAAAGAAGGGTGTGTGCAAAGTTTCAATCCGATAGCTTTAAAACTGAGAGACTAGTTTGCGTAGAAACAGACAGACGGACAGACGGACAGACGGACATGGCTATATCAACTCAGGAGGTGATCCTGATCAAGAATATATATACTTTATAGGGTCGGAGATGTCTCCTTCACTGCGTTGCACACTTTTGACCAAAATTATAATACCCTCTGCAAGGGTATAAAAAGGTATAAAAATGCCCCTTCACAGCTAAATAAATCTATTATTTACAGGCTAAAAAACCCTATTGTGTTATGATTAATATGTAATATGTTATCTAAGACTTAAGTATATATATAATATATCCGCTGTCTTACCTTTGCATCTTCGGCAACAAGTGCCGTTCGACTTATCCAGAATATAGCAATCATTGACGGGCGGACAGGTATCGCGACAATTCACGAATCCGTTCTGTAAAATTCAAATAAAAAGCAAGACAATAAATTAGTCTTATTGCTGAGATCGTTCCTCGGCCCCATGTGGCGTATGCGCGATTTGCACAAATGCGCTTAGCCATGTGAAAGATGGCTGTCACTGAGCAGCTGAGCTGATGATTGGTGAGTGCAGTGCACACTTATATATCCCCACTGCCCTGCCCCATAAAATACACCTCCACCTGATTTACAGCCCAGCAATTGCTTTGGGAATTGCCATTGCTCAATGAGGCTCTGCACTCTGACCTTCACTGTAATTTACTTTGGGCGTGGCGATTGCTTTGACTTCCACTTCATTTGGGGTTACCTACACTGAGAAATATATATCTAAGATAGAATTTCGATTCGGTCTCTAGATTTACCGAAATGAGGAAATATATATTTTAAAAACTTTAAATTTGTAACGATTTATTACAACCAACTATGTAATCTTTCCTCAATATTTCAATAAAATTAATAAACCTAAGTTTTACCCCTGAATGTAAATTTTGCATTTCCATATTAATGTTTTGACCTCATTGGTGTAATGTAATTTAGTTCAATTTAAATACCTGATAAGAACCGTTTTAAATGGCAGAACATAAATGTCATTGTTTTCCATTTTCTCTGTGGATGTTAAAGTGGGAAATGAGCTGGGATTATGCAAAGTCGGCTAATTTATGCTGCAGTAATTTATCCTTAGGACCGAAAGCCCCCGCTCTCTTTGCAACTCGTTAGTTGATCCCTCGGCTGATTGCCTGCCCACAGGTAAGCAGCGCCAAATCAGCTTAGATATATATTTATATGCGGGTATCTATGCATCTGGATTTTCTAGCCATTTGGCTGTTAACGACATGCTGACAGCTGCAGCGGGGTGCATTGGAATTGATGTCGATCATAAGTCAAACTGTTGCAACTTGGCCGGCTTGTGCAATTGCCATTGCCTTTAACTTTAACTTTAACTTTAACCCTTGAGTGCCGCGCAGCAGCAGTGCCAGCTGTTGGCAGTGACAGGTTAAAGCCAGATCCAGCCCGGCAATAATAATAGAGCCCGAGTCGGAGCCGGAGCCGCCACTAATTGTAAATGTATCTATAAATCTAGATAGATGTCGACCAAAAACAGGCAAAATATTTCACTAATTTGTATGCAGTTGCTCCGAACAATGTTGGTGAGTATCTGTGTGTGTATAATTTAGTGCAAGCAAACCAGATTGGATCTCAATTTGGATGGGGCCGCAACGTGCAAAATTTGCAATTGTTATGAAAATGAAAATCTCGAGAGTCTCAGTCGCGGTCTCTGGCTGCGAGATTTTTATCATCGTATTAGTTTTAATGGCAGTTGTTAGTTGGAATTTTAATGGCACTTTAGTGCGGCATTGTCGTAACTCCCCCAGCCCCCATTTCTACACAAAAAATAAAATTGAGCAAATTAAAGGTCGACCTGTTTTTTTTGGTATAGAATGGGATCCAATTAATTTAATGTACAATTAAATTTTAATTAATTTGAGGTTCCATATTTTTGGCTAAAACTTCATTGTTATATTTAATAGTTCAGTTTTAGGATTTCGATGAACACTTTAAACAGATTACATTTTTCTAAAATACATTTATAATGTTCAAGAAAACGAGATATTCGATTAAAGATTGTCATATTTATTTATCAAATATATGAGTTAATTCACTCTTTGTTTTCTGTGCATTTCTTGAAATCCAGTAAGCTTGTAGATTGAATATCACTCTAATCGCTTGTCGTATCTCACGGATCAAAGTTCACATGCTCTCGAAATCCGGCCAGAGCTTCGACTTGGTATCGGCCAACTCGCATCCAGCTGTTTATGCTTCGGAATTCTTTCTTTCTAATCGGGAACCGGTATAGAAAAATGCCCAGCCAACATGAAAGTTGAGGCATTTTTTCTGCGAGAGATTGCCAAAGCCAAAGGCGCCACGATGGCAACTTGAGCTGCTAAGTAGCATTGTGTGATGGAGAGTGGATAGGGGATGTTGTTGTTTTGATTCTTGCCCAGCGGCAGTCCGCAACAACAACTTAAAGACTCCGGGCTTAAATGGGTGTGTGTGTGTGTGTGTGTGTGTGTGTGTGTGTGTGTGCCACAGTGGCAGAACCACATTTGCAAACGGCCTCTAACGACCTTGCGTTTGACAAAACATGATCGGTTTTAACACTGTCTCCGTCTCCTTCTCCGTCTGAGCCTCTCTTTCCGCCGCTCACTCTGTTGTTGGCCATCTCGGAGTTAAGTTGGCCAGGTTGGAGTCTGCCGCTCTAGACACGGAGTGAATATGGTAATGGCAGTCTTGTGGTTTTATGGTCATGTGTATTTTGTCACTTGTGGGCTACACGGGCTCAAATTGGAATCGGAATTGGACTTGGAATCGGAATCGGCATCGGGTTTAGAACGGTTTGCCTAAGAATTTGCAGGAAAGGAATTGGCAGACCTGTATGAAAATATTTGGCCAAATCTGGTTTGTCCGTGCTCTAGAATTCCATATTTGCAAAAGTGAATTTATTTAGTTAAAGTTATTCACACTAAAACTGCTCTTACGATTCCAATTTACCGAGTTGCCCCTGGCGATCGTAAATCCTTCATTAATATTAATACAAAAGTGAAGTAAAAATGCTAATCCCGTTTCTACGTTAATATTATACATTTTTCATCAATACTAATGCAAAATATCTTGTAAATATTTATCAATCACTGACTGTATCCTCTAATCACATGTTTACCCATTTTCAGAAAAAAATAATATAATTTGCAAATACACATAAAAGTCCTGCTCAATCATTTGTCTGTCTGGTTGGTTGAGGAAATCCCCCCGGAAAATCGTTTAAATCATAAGCCATTAAGTGCGAATTCAGCGGATTCAGCATAATATTCACATAAAACCGAAAATTTGTGGCCTTTTCAGGGGATGGGGTACCAATTTTCTTAAATTGTCCTTGACGATTTCGGAATACCCGACAAATATGTGTGTAAGCCTGTTCTATGCGTGCCCGTATATTCATATATTTTTGACAATAAACGTCAGTCGTAAAGATTCGACTTAAATGGGTGGGAATAACGCGAGAGTTAAAGTACGGGAGCTGTGTAAGCAGGCATTATTTATCGGTTTTATGCGTTCAAGCCCCGATTACAGCTTAACGCTTTGCACGCTCCATTGCGGAGCGTTGTGATTTTCTGGACTTAAGAGCGAATCTAAGAGAAATCACATCGAGCTCGGGTTAAATTCGATTTCATGAACTTTTAATGAGTCGAGCGACGAATCCCCAGCGCGTGCGACAGAGATGCAGCATGCGGTCGATCCGGAAAGAGACGGAGATAGTGATGGCGCCTTCCCAGTAAGGTGGCGCCAGTATCGTATTTTTTTTTGCTCCCCCCCGCTGATTTTGCTGCTGCTTTTTAATTTCGGTTACGCCCACTTGACGACGACGACAGCAGCAACCGCAGCAACAATGGAAATAATAACAACAGCGAAGCGAAGCTCAGCCGCAGGCGAAAAAAGATTCAGCGATCGATCGATCGGTTGGATCGCTTGGATCGCCCGATCGATCGGTCGGCGCCAGCTTGAACGCTTGCCGCTCAAATTGGAGCAGCGGCGTTTAGCAGCGCTTAGCGCTAAATTAGCAAAAGGCTCACGACAGACTCACAGTGAAAAATATCTTCTTAAACTGGTCCTGAGTTAAGTATTACAACCCTAAATCATTTAAAAAATATATATGTTTTAAAATATTGCAGATGTGTATTAACAAGTTCCGTCAGAAACCTAAAGTTCACAAAAACAAAGTTTTTAAAAGTTAAATGTTTTTTTAATATTCAAATAGAAAATTCGACATAATCAAAAACCTAACGAAATGAAAATTATAAAAACATCGATATGATAAGTTATGATAAGTATTTAAAAATATGTGTTATGGCAACAAAAATGGAACAATCATTTTTGGTTTTAATATTTTTAATTAAAGATCACTAAAGTGTACATTTTTAATATAATTTTTAATCAAAAAGAAAATCTCAAAAAAAAATTGTTTTACGTTTAAGACATGCAGTTGAACATTTCTTATATAACTCATTCTATAAAGATAATTTTTAACTCAAGGAATTTATAAAAAAAACATAAAATAAATAGAACTAGAATTGAATATTTTTTTCTGTGTCTTGACAACCCAGCCACCTCCTTCATTCCACCTGCGCCCCATTCCACCTCTCTCTTTCTATCGATCAGCCAGATGAGCACGCGCTTGCTTAATGACGACACGAAGCCGCCGTTTGAGCCGCGCCAGAAAGGGAAAGAGATGGCGGGACGAGGCCGAGTGAAAGAGAGAGGCTGTTGATGGGAACCTGGCGACGAAAAATCACAGCGGCGGCGCCAAGTGTTTGTCAAACGATCGAGTGCCGAGATCGATCCGCGGACCCAACACCGAACCGAATACCCTTGCCAATACCAAGGTACCCCTTACCATGATACCCGTCCCACATTGCGGATGACGGCGCGAAACCCGTTTGACGACCTTGGATCATAAAAAATTCACTGAAGGGGGACGGCCAAAGGGGAAAGAGAAAGAGCGTGTTGGCGAGGAAGAGTTGAATCCAAACAAATGCAAACATGCTCAAACATTCCGACAAATTCCGGCATATCTTCAGCTTCTTTCTCTTGTACGCATAGCACAAAATATGTTAATTTTAGACGGAACACTAATATGTTAAATAATATAATTTGCTGTGAAGTGTGCAAGCTCTAAAATATTTAAACCTCTACAATATTATTAGATATATTATAAATATTAATATTTTTTAAATAGTAATCGAAAACATTTTATACTAAATCTGGTTAAATATTTTCTTTCTGATGTTAACGGTACACAAATGTTAAACTTTAACTTTAACTTAAAGTGGGTAAGTTTTTGCTGGCAATCTTATTGAAGTATTTGAACCATTTTTGGTATTTTTCATTTTGGCAGACGGCTAAGAATTTAACTGCAATGACATGAGTCTGAATGTCCTGCTGGCTGGACACTGGCGTCGCCCCATGCTGAGAGCGAGATAGAAATATAGAGGGGGAATGAGACAAATAGGAGTGAAGGGGACGAAACAAGTACAAGAGATTTATTTCAGCAAGCATGTTTATGTTATTTCATTTCGTTTCATTTCGCTTTAAGTGACTTTTATCGAGGCCAAAAAGCAAACTCCACTCGCAAACTTGGCCAGGATCCGTGGAGCCTTAAAAAAGTTGGCTGAGAATCGGGGGTTCAGGGGGACAAAAGGGGAAGTTAAAGTGGCAAGCACTTTACTTCGACTCACCTGGCATTCGCACTTGAAACAGGTGAAAATCTGCGGTTGGTTCTTCAGTTGCACTTCCTCACCCTCGTTCGAGCAGGATTGACGTACGCCTGTAATAGAATTGGAGTGCGGATTAGTGATGTGCCTATCAGATGTGAGTAAGTTAAGTTAATCCCCTTTCGGGCCCCTCCCACTGCATTTCCTGCCTCTGACGTTGACTCTTGATGTAATAATACCAAACAAACACAAACAAGACGATTCATTGCATGTACAAACGCCGGAAATTGCCCACCGACTGAGATCTTATCCGAGCACGTGACCCAAAATGGACTCTTCTCTATGGGAATGCCCTCACCCTCACCCTACTTATGTGTCTGATCTCCTTCTGCGGGTCAATGAGATTAGGCCACTGGATTTATGTGTTTGCCTGTGGACTTTACACGGTAAAAATAAATAGCGGAGAATGTCTCTAAGACCTTTATAAAATCAATTTACTTTTAGCTTAAATACGAATTAGTAAATACAAAATATTGTTCAGGAATAATTTCAAAGTTTTAGTTTAGACAAGAAAGTTATGTTTGTTGTTGTTTACGTAAGAAATATAATTATTTTTTCCAAGCAGCATTTTATTACGCATAACACGAAAACAAGTCAAAGATTAAACTGTTTTTTTTATATTATCACCATATTTCTATGTTCTTAGAAAAATAATTGAATTATTAAATACTTTTTAAATTCTTTAAAATTGTTGATAAAACCAATCTAAAAGTCTTAAATATAAATTCTCTATGTAAATGCAAATTATCATTTTTTAAAATGTATGAGAAGCATTAAAAAGCATTAAAATTATTATTATTATATGATATTTTTTATCTGTGTACAGGTACTTTTCAACATCGACCTGTGATTGTTGTTGTTGCCACTTTGTTTGGTTTTTACCTTTTCCTCTGCCCGTGCTCTGCTGGCGTCTCTGCCGGCGTCGCTGCTGGCGCTTAAGTCAAAAGTAGCCAAGCGTTGCATGTTAAACATGTTCCCCAACAACAAGAACAATAACAACAACGAAAGCATTGGGAAGGCAAAGGAAAAGGTAAACGGAAACGTAGAGGGAGATGGAAAGGCAGGTACAGCGGGAGTAAGGGAGCGGGAGAGACACGACCTCAGCGTGCTGAGCCCGGTCTTCTTCTTCCCGAAAAGTGAGGACCACCTGCAATGTGCTGATAAACACACAGACACATGCGCCATCCCTCTCGCTCTCACCCGCTGTTCGGCGGTAAATTAAGACGCCGGCGCTACACAGAAAAAATGTATGTACATAAATACATATATATATGGGTGTTATAGGATAATAATTAATAAATTAAAATTTTTATCAATGTATAACATTTTTCTAACGGAAAATTAAGTTATACAGTTATTATTATTATTTCCATGAAATTATTTTTTATGGAAATAAACTTAACATTGTTTTAATAATTATGATTACTATTAAAAACACAAATCATCGTTTGTTAAATACAATTAATCTCAACGTTTTCTGAATTATTTTCTGTGTACAAAGTTCATATAAAAAAGATAGGCGGGGTGATCCATTCGAGCTACCTTCCTTTTTTTTCTTCTTGTGATCTCTGTGGGCGGCTTTAGGACTTTGTTTTATTCTGCATTATTATCGTGGTTCCTCCCACTTGATCTCCCCTCAAGAAACGATCTGTGTAATTTGGTCGCTTGTTTGTTTTTGGTTCGCTTTGTTCTTTGATGCTGGACTTTAGATGATTGTTGTTTTTGGTCCACTCTTTCCTGTTATGCGATTGTGTCCTGCTGTTTTCCCACTCCTTTTCCCTACACCACTCCCATTTTCAAATCAATGGAAAATTTCCCTCTCCCGAATTAAACAAAAATATCTGGTTTGCCGCTGGGGACTTTCTACATTCCTTTCTCTTTTCGACTAGAACAGTTAATGAACTTGGTTCAAGTAACTCGATATCGGCATTGCAATATATTTAATTTATGCGAATTTTATTTTCATTTAACACACTCGAAAACCCATAAAAAAGCCCACTCAATATGTTTTTTAGAGGAGCCAGACGAAAACAGCGAAATTGAAGTCGTGCCAGTGACGGCGACGCAGACAACGCTTGAATATGCTCAGTCAGTAGCAAATCCCGCCGGATCCCTAGCCCCTCGATTAAAGCCCCCCGCTCCCCTACCGCTGGCGTTGGCGACGTTCGCCGATTAATCACAGTCGCAGATTAAGCGCCAGTCAATTGAGTGGAAAGGGGATTAGGAGGTGGCTCAGGGGGATCAGCGGCGGCACGTGTTCGGGTGTAACGCCTAGGAACAGCAGAGCGGTACTCAACTACTTTTGGGAAAATTTAAAAATAAATCCTTTGGATTTCATTATTAACAACTTTATTCAATTCAATTTAATTCAAGCAATAATCGAATAATTATCCCTAAAAATCAAAAATCCCCTAAAAAACCTGAACATTTTTATACCCTTGCAGAGGGTATTATAATTTTGGTCAAAAGTGTGCAACGCAGTGAAGGAGAAATCTCCGACCCTATAAAGTATATATATTCTTGATCAGGATCACCTCCTGAGTTGATATAGCCATGTCCGTCTGTCCGTCTGTCTGTCCGTCTGTCTGTTTCTACGCGAACTAGTCTCTCAGTTTTAAAGATATCGAATTGAAACTTTGCACACACCCTTCTTTCCTTTGCACGCAGTATATAAGTCGGAACGGCCGGGATCGGCCGACTATATCCTATAGCTGCCATATAACTGATTGATCGGAAATGCCATAACTCTGCTGTTTGTTAGGTTAGGAAGTTGGGACTTTCTATGGGTTTTATATTTGGCCAATCAATCTGACGTACCAAATTTCATAAGGATCGGCCGACTATATCTTATAGCTGCCATATAACTGATTGATCGGAAATGCCATAACTTTGGTGTTTGTAAAGTTAGGAAGTTGGGATTTTCTATGGGTATTATATTTGGCCAATCAATCCGACGTACCAAATTTCATAAGGATCGGCCGACTATATCTTATAGCTGCCATATGACTGATTGATCGGAAATGCCATAACGTTGGTGTTTGTTAAGTTAGGAAGTTGGGATTTTCTATGGGTTTTATTTTTGCCTAATCAATCCGACATATCAAATTTCATAAGGATCGGCCGACTATATTCTATAACTGCCATATAAGTGAACGATTGGAAATGCCATAACTTTGGTGTTTTTAAAGTTAGGAAGTTGGGATTTTTTATGAGTATTAAGAATGCATTATGAATGATTTTGGAGAATATAATTTGCAGAATATTCTGCAAGGGTATTTCAACTTCGGCTCCGCCCGAAGTTAGCTTTCCTTTCTTGTTAGTACTGTGCTAGAGTCAACACATATCTATATGATCAACTTAATACCACTTTAATTCCAGATTAATTATTTTAATCGTGATTTTACAACATTGACTACTTGCTTGTTAGGTTTAATAATTATATTTAAGTTATTTTCTGAGGCTTCAAAAAAGGTTAATTGCTTAAGTTTATCTTATACAAATCATTAGACTTTTTATATTTTTCCTTTCTTTAAAGCCTGGATTATTAAAAAGGTTTTTTATAATTCCCAAGGATACATTTGAAACAAAGTCCAGCGAAAGGTTAACATGTCGCCTTTCACACAATTCCATAAAGTTGACTCTGACTCAGTTTCAGTAGAAAAGCGATCGAAATGACTATATAACCCCGCTCTATAACCGAACGCATTGGTTGGCAGTTAAAGCTGTTATAAGCTCGTAAAAATCAGCCAAAATCCATGATTCATAGTCATAAGCCATAGAAAATCCGGCAAGCCGCTTAGATGAACACATCTGGGGGAATTTTTAAATAATATTTTTTAGACCGGGAAGAATGTGGATCTTCATTAAGGTTTGTGGAAAGTTTAACGATCGGATTGGAAATTTATAGCCAAAAAAATGTGATAAAACAATTAGCAATGGTCCTTAAATTATCGTTAAAAAATTATTTACGACGACTTTATGAATGTTTAATTTACATCAAAGTATGAAATAAGAAAATTTAAAAAAATTTGAATTACAGAAATCCTTTATTTAATGCGATTACAAAATGTTATTTAACAAAAAACTCAGGGAAAGACTCATTTATCTAATTATTTTTGTAATTTTTTAAGTAATCAAATAACTAATCATTTAACTAATAGCGAAATTATAGCGATTCTAATTATTTGATCCTGAAATAAATAAAAATAATCAAAAAACCAAAAGTGGGCGCCATGGAATTATTTTTTAAATGGATTTCTTAGAAAAATTTAGAGCCCGACAAGGAAACTCACACTAATTAATCGAAATAAGTATTCAAAATACTTGAACATGTCATCAGCAAAGCATTGATCTAATCATTTTAAATACGCAGTCCCATAAACAGTTTTCTATATCTGAACAATAAAATCCACATTGATCTCTAAAAATAATTCAAGAGCCCGCCAAGTGATCACTTACAAACTACTTCATGGTAACTCACCTGAGAGACTATCGCCCACTCCGATGGCGGCGACTGTCTGCATTTGGAGCACGGTCAGCAGGATTACGGTGAGGATCAGGACCTGGGTCCATTGGCAAACTCCGTGGAAATGCCGCCTTGGCGCCGCTGATTCCTGTGGCTGCTGCGCAGAATTTTTCCACTGGCCACTTGATTGGCAACACATTTTCACAGGCGTCGGTCGATGTTCGCGGAAATCTCTATTAGTTTTTCCTCTGCACAATTCTCGTTAAATGCTTTGCTTTCGGTTTTTGTTGTGGCTGTGGCTCGCGTGAATTATGACTGGAAAGAAATTGTGTTTTGGTGGAGAAAGATCACGATCAAGCCGGTTAGTTTAAAAATAACAGCGCAGCGGGCGAAAATAGATTTGTTTGGATATTCTGCAGGTGTCTTGTACCAATTTGTACCTACAACTTTGTTGTTCAAATTAAATTTAGAACCGATTTGTCAGCGTGTCAGTGTCTGTGTGTGCCCGTGCAACAACTGTTGTTTTGGAGAGACAGACACTTTGCACTTGCCGCCGCCCAGGGTGAAATTTTGGCCAGTAAATCATCCCGTTTTGGGTTTTACGACTCCTGCCCAGAACCCGAGATGAAGATGAGGCCATAGATAGAGACACTGTCTGAATTCTGCGAATCATCAGCGCAGCCCTCGCCCCGCCTCTTTGGGAGGTGTTAAGACAACCTGGACATTATTAGTTTTGCGATTTATGGGTGCGTACGCATAGCTATATCCGTGTATCTCTGTATCTCTGTATCCATGTATCCGAAAGTGAGCGAGTGGTGGTACAGGTAACAACAGATACGAGCCTTATGTGTGGTGGCTCTTTGTTCGACTGGCGGATCATAAAAATGTTAATGATCTTTGACGGGCTGGCGCCAGCCAGGGAATATTGTAATGCTTGTTTGAGTTATAATTAATTTCGATGGCGCATAATATTTTATTATTTGTCTTGAACAAGCACAGCAACAACAACACCAGCACCACGAATTCGCCAAAGATTTGTTGTCGTTCAGCTTCTCTGTTGGTTTGTAGGTTTTTGATTTTTTATTGATTTCTGGCCGCTTCAAAGTGGCGCCAACCAAACGCCGAACGCACCAAATGCGGATACGAATCTCTGTGATTCACTAGGCGCTAATCCCAATCCCCAGCGTAATCCCAAGCCCCGGTTCGATTCCCAATCGGAGATCGTGTGACACACCCTGCGGCGATCGGGAGAGCTGAGAAAGAGAGATTGGCCGGCCCAAATCGGTGCTTGACCTAACAAATGTCAGCGGCATTCGAACAAGTGCTAATGGACAGGGAAAGTGATGGACTAAGAGGTACCCTAAAATCTGTGATAAAGCTCTACTTATATTGTAAGTAGAATACTAATTTCTTTTGTGCAAGTCTTTGGTACATCAACCGCATTAGATATTTAACCTTACATAACTACCAGAAACAAAAAATCAAAACATAGTTTTTCCATACCATATACCAAACGATACATAAAAATATAATTAACAAGTTCCGATGGTATGTTTATGAGTATAATATTAAGCGTAACAAGAAAGGAAAGCTAGCTTCGGGCGGAGCCGAAGTTGATATACCCTTGCAGAATACTCTGTAAATTATATTCTCCAAAATTATTCTTATGATGCATTCTTAATACTCAAAAAAAAAACCCAACTTCCTAACTTTAAAAACATCAAAGTTATGGCTTTTCCAATCGTTCAGTTATATGGCAGCTATAGGATATAGTCGGCCGATCCTTATGAAATTTTGTAGGTCGGATTAATTGGCCAAATAAAAAACCCACAGAAAGTCCCAACTTCCTAACTTAACAAACAGCAGAGTTATGGCATTTCCGATCAATCAGTTATATGGCAGCTATAGGATATAGTCGGCCGATCCTTATGAAATTTGGTAAGTCGGATTGATTGGCCAAATATAAAACCCATAGAAAATCCCAACTTCCTAACTTTACAAACACCAAAGTTATGGCATTTCCGATCGTTCAGTTATATGGCAGCTATAGGATATAGTCGGCCGATCCCGGCCATTCCGACTTATATACTGCGTGCAAAGGAAAGAAGGGTGTGTGCAAAGTTTCAATTCGATATCTTTAAAACTGAGAGACTAGTTCGCGTAGAAACAGACAGACGGACAGACAGACGGACAGACGGACAGACGGACAGACGGACAGACGGACAGACGGACATGGCTATATCAACTCAGGAGGTGATCCTGATCAAGAATATATATACTTTATAGGGTCGGAGATGTCTCCTTCACTGCGTTGCACACTTTTGACCAAAATTATAATACCCTCTGCAAGGGTATAAAAATTAAAAACATAAGGTCAAAATGAAATACATATTTTTTAGCCAGCAAAATTATGAAGCATCTGACTTGGAAATATACTTAGGTATTTCCGCCAATCTTTAGGCCCCATATACTTCCCGGTAATCGGTATTTGTCATACCTACCGACCTGATAAGCCTAAGCTCATGTTGGACTATATATACATATGTAGAGCTCTGAATAATATGTTAATTTCTGCACTTGATAACGAGGCACACACATGCGAAAAGTAGCAAATGCAGCGATCGACTACGTGACGATCGGTTCAAGTGGTGTTGTTGTGCCCGCTCCCTGCGATTAGGTGCAATTTGTCAAGCGTCTCATGGTTGACAAGGACAATGCAAATCAAAAGTGGGAACTACTACATATGTATACTATATGGTACGTATGCCTCATTAGTTTATTTTACTGTTTCTAGGAAATGGTTCTTTGTCCGAATACAAGAATTAGATGACTTTGATAAAGTGGAGGTCTTCAAATTAATCACCATTGAGAATTTGTTTGCTCAGGAGGAGGAGGAGAAGGCAAGTCGCAGTTTTCCGCGGAGATTATGTAACAGCGAGCTTCAATGTCGCCGTGATTCCCCATCGCTCAACTCAAGAGCACTCTTTAAGTGCCATTCCAAATACAATTCTTGATTCTGGTCAAGGGCCCGAGCTCGAGTTGATTTCAATTGGATCGCCTGGGTTCTCGGCTTATCGTGTGGGTTCATTGTTCATATTTTAATGCCCATGGCGATGATGATCGTGCCACATGTATGCACTGTACGCAATTTCCAAATCGCCAAATCAGTCGGCCTTTTCAGCTGGGGTTAATGTGCGATTGAGTGAATGAGTTGAGAAATCGTCTGCGACCGGGGCTTGGGCTGGGTTGGTTGATGGGGCCTAAGGTTGATCCGAAAATAGCCAAGCAATAGTGGGAATTAGCAGGGCATTTAATTTGAGGTCCAGTTCCTAAGATCTCGGCCCTCTGTATTATTCTGTAATGTGTGTAATTGGGGACCCGGCGGCGGCATTACATGAGTCAGACTTAGACGATGTCGTGCCAATTAAAGTGGCCGAGGGCCAGTGATTATGGGCTGGCGTTGGGGTTTCTAATGGTCCCGACATGGCGTCAACCCAACCGACAAGGCCTGGGCAATTAAGCGAGCTCGGGGTTGCGCTGCACTTCAACTGCAGAAAATTGGTTAGGGTTCTGGGTTCTCAGTTCTGGTTTCTCGGCTCCCGAAAGGGTTATACGCATGGCGCGCAGACGGCGTCTAGACGGGGCCTCTAATGATCGGCGGTAGGTATGTATATGCATAGTATAGTGTGCTGTAGTGTAGGGTAGTATCCTCCAGTCCCGTCCTTATCACACTCTCGCCATCGCGAATTCCACTTAAAAGCCCGGCTGGCCTGCCTCCTGCCAATTACCTTCGGAGTGGACCATGTCGCTGGCTTAATTCAATTAACAGCGGAATGCCTACGACTTACATACAACCTACAGCCACATGGCCATTAAGCCCCGAGATCAGTCGTAATCCCCCGCAAGCGGCGCCAAAAAACCCCAAAGACTTTGGCAAATCATGCAAATTCCACAGGCCAACTACAAGACACGACTCCAGCCTCGGATCTCGGATCCAAACTCCCCGCTGATTCCGATCGCTGCCTGGCAACTAATTTCAATGTATTTGCATATTGAAGTCTGTTTGCCACAACAATGAGATGGCTAAAAACGCACATTTGTCAAATGGCAGGCGCTTCGGGGCAAGACGGGCTCGGGATCTCAGCTTTATTTGGTACAATTCCATCTGACAGAAACCGAAACCAAAACCCAAACCCAAACCAAAGCCAAAACCAAAACCAAAACCGATTACAGCTGCAGCCCAGATGAAGACAAGGCCCAGACCCAGAGCCACATCCATGACGTTGACGATTGCCCAAGACAATGGGCCAACAACGAGAGTTAACCAATTTCGTATGCCGCAAGGGGACGGGAAAGAAACGAATGCATCGAACGACATAATAAAGTCACAAGCCAGACAAACGTATAAAAGCTAACAAAGCTATTAGCCATCATCATCATCATCATCGGCTTCATCGATGGGGCCCAGCCCAACTGCGGAGTGCCAGGACCACAGTGAATACCGACCTCAAACTGGTCCTGTCCTCCGTCTTCCGCCGACTTCTGCCCTCCCGATGGGGTAATGCGTTTTTAATAGCGTTCGAATCACTGCCAAACCGAACAAAAAGAACAGGACAGGACAGAACGGAACGGAATCGAGCCGAACCCAAATATGCCGGAATAAGTGCTCTATAAAAGTCACACGTCATATAGTTTAATTAAATGAGATTTCTTTGGAAAGCTAACACGTAACCGGAGCTTTTTTCTATGGAAAGAGATGTCTGTCACCTGCTTGATTGAAACTAGTTTTCCTTAAATTTAAATATATTTTCAATCAAATGAACAGAGAGTTTTACAACTAGGTTAATGAAAGTGGCTTCTTTTCAACTCTATAGCTTTTCCTAAAATAAATTAGATATGAGGCACATTTTTAAAAGTGTATATCAGATTTCATAACTTTTTAGTTAATTTTTGACAAATATAATAATAAGCATTGTGAAATTTATAATTACATATGTTATAAATATTTTTTATGGAATTTCTCATCAAATGAAAAGAGATATTTACTACCGTTTAATTCAACTAAAGACGTTTAATTCTTCAATGTATTTGGAAGTTACAAGTTATTTAATGCCTAATTTTCTTTAATAAAAAATATATTTCCAATCAAATAAAAGAAAGAGTTTTTCCTAAGGTATGAATAAAGAATTAAGAGTTTAGTTTCAAAAATGTATTTCATAAGCTGTAGCTGCATTTTAATTGCCTAATTTAGTTCTGCTTAAAGATCACAATAAGAACCATTTTAACGATTGAAATTCATATTTTTCGATCTGCAAAATCTCTATTTATGGTTTTATCAGCATAAGCCATATAACTCATTGCCGATTTTGGAGCCGCCACCGGATTACTCCAATCCTTTGCCGCTTAGTCACCCCAGAATCTCGGCCGATACTTGGCCATATAAGCACTGCCGAAGTCTCTGCACAAACTTGTCATGGCCATGAATCATGGATCATATGAAATGATTTTTATTATTCTTAACTGCTCATTGGGTTCGGTTTGCAAATTATTAATAAACTCGGGGCAAATATGGTGGGGGAAATGTTGGACGAGGGGGGATGGACGTTAGAGTGCGGGTGCTGGCTTGTTGAAATTTGAGTATTATTAGCGAATTTACCGCAAAACCTATAAATAGCCAAACAGAACCATTAATTGATACACAGACACTGGTAGCCTTTGTGGGAGTGATTATCTGTGTTTCTGGGGCCAATCCAAAGTCGAACTTTTGTGGAGATCTAAAAAATGCGATCAAAACAACAGTCGAAATTCCATACAATTTTTATTGTGCAATTATTTGGGCGAAAGTTAATCAAAAAACTACGTATACAAAATATTCGATGCCTTCTTTTTGTTGTGTTCAAAAAAACCGGATTTATTGATCGAAGATGAGGCTGTATAGCTGTAAACAATTTTTTAGAAACAACCAACCAACGGACCAAACAAAAAAAACAGAAAAAAGAAACAACAAAACAACAAATTTGAGCAGACGATTTACGGGAATTCCAGCGAGTGACGTGCGAAACCCGATTTTATGATATTTTTGTTGTGGTTGTGAATTGGTAGCCGCTTCTGGCACATTTGTTTAATGACAATCTCAGAAATGCCAGAGAAAAAATATACAAATTCTCGGAAACTGCTATCAATTATTACCGATTTTTATCTGAACCGGAAAAACAAAAGTCGCTGCAAAACTTTTTCTTCAATTCGAAGATATTTTGATTTGACTTAAGAACTACTTCGGATTGACATTCTTTTGTTTTTTATATTTTTGCTTATAGCTTGATGTTACATATTATAATTAAAAAAGCTTTATTAAAGTGTGTATTGTTATAAAACATCTTATTTA